GTCAACAAGATTTACTCACTGGTTATTTGTGATGCTGGTTTTTAGAGTGCCTCTATGTGTCCATGACTCACTGTTTTGAAATGAAAAGCTCATTTAATACAAGATAGTCATAATTACAAGTGATATATCAGGAAGATAATGTTCAAAGTTTCCACCTGACAGTTAGATGCAACATGTAACAAATGGTGAGAGCTAATTGGTTTTACCATATGAAGTCCTGAACCATAAGAATCAGGAACTATATTAATGAGACATGAAGAGCAGACTGATGCGAAGATTAGCTATAAAAGACTTCCACTTCTTCCTACCTGATCTGAAACTTCTGAAGTTAGAAAGAGTGAGAAGGAAAAAGTAACTGAATATTATAAAAATGTTTCCATTTTTTTCACACAAGTGGGCCCATAGCACATAATATACCATGCATATCTGCAAATCTGGGTACCAGTTCCAAAGCAGATTGCTTATGTCAGTCACCATCTCACTTCCCAGCAAGGAAAATAAATTGACTGGCTATTAAACATCTTAAAAATAAAGCAGACAAACAAAAACATTTGCTAAATATATTCCACCCTCCCTTTTGGCCCTGGAACCTATATAAAATATTATGATTCATATGCAAATGGAGATTGTCAAGATTATATGTTAATGTCCCCCTTGGTGCAGAGAAATAGATGAAGCAACTTCTTGATAGTTGGGAAATTTCTGGGAAGCCTTAGGGGGAAAGTAACTGCTTAAATCCCTGCTCTAAATTAACTTGGTTGGACATCATGAAGTCTGCACCTCTTTCTGTATTTCTGTAGCTTCATTAACAAATTCATTTTGATTAGACTCATAGAACAGCTTAAACTCTGCACGTGTTACATTATTAATACTGCATAGGCTTTTGCAAACTTTCGTGCTAAGCTTTAAGAAAAAGAAGCTGGTTAATTAATACTGAACTGAACTGTCACAGATTCCGACACTCATGATCCATGTTATTGAGAAGGGATTTATAATGATAACGCGTTATTTTGATACGCTATTTGCTTAATCTTATATTCCCAAGAAATACGTTTCTCTACATTGCTAGATTTTGGATTAATTTATACACTGAAAGAATATTCTTTTCCCTAAGTTAATTCTCATCATGTGGACAGCAATCTTCTGATGTGAGATACTGCTAAGAATTTCAGCCAGAAATGTATTTGATCTCTGGCTTTTCCCACATCAAATGAGCAGAAAAGTATATGAAAAGAACAGAAAAAAATAAAATGCATATAGCAAAAGAGAGCTTGCTGGAAAATAGAGAGCACGAACTGTAGAGCACAAAAAACAGTGATAAACAAAGATCTGCTTATGAGCTGTCATTACTGCTGTAGTTTGGGAGAGAAATACAGTTAAATTCTTCTTTTGTATTCATTTTCTTCAGTAGTTTTGCATTTTGATTATTAGATTTGCAGACAATACAAATCATTCTGACCCAGCCTGACCAAATGCTTTAAAAAGCAGTTGAGTGAATTAATTCCAATGTTTCTGTCAGGTATTATTGTGCTGATATGTGTATGTGCGAAGGCTGTCTTGCTGTAATTCCTCGCACAGTATCAGAGAAGCATGATACTATTCCATTTCTCTTCCTGGCAATTGGGTGCTCTCTGTTGATCTCAGCTGTAACTATACTTTTATCATGAAATGGCCCATATACTCTTCCTATGTATGGCACCTTGCTGTCAGCAACTTTTGATTAGATAGCTGCTATGTAACCACACAAAGACGACACCTTTTTAGGTAATATTTTCCAAGGGTTTGAATTATTTATGGCCATTCTATGATTCTATATTTCTATGAAATACATCTGGACATATTGCAATTGTGCAGATCCCCTTCATTTTAGCTAGAGTTCAAGTAAGACGCTTCTGGTAATATGTAGTTGATTTAATTTTCTCGATAGGGACTTCAAAAACCAAACCTGCTGGCTAGATGAAGTTACGTCAAGGACAAACTGAGGTCTACTCATTGCTTTAATAAAACCGTTATTGCTTTTTCAGTGGGAAGAAAGGATCTTCTGACTTCACTGACTCTGATATGGGCAGCAGCCTATGAGTCACTCCCTTGTAGAGATAGTGACTTATTTTAATTACCCTCAATGAACCCTGCATTTGCAGGAATGAGTCATAGCTTAATGCAATTTCGTAATAATTATATAAGAAGTATTTTAAAGTGATAAAGTAAAGAGAAAGCCTTGTAGCTTTCTCTATTTTGTTCATTCTGCAATACAACTGGAGAACGATTCATTTTAAATGAGCTAGTATGTATTATTTACTAGGAATAATTACTTGTGTTATATATGGATAGAGACAGTGCACAGTTCTGTACAGATTGACAGTGTGTTAAGGTTCCTGGGCCCAGAGGTGTGCACCATGTGGATTCAAACATCAGAGTGATTAAAAATATGGTCAGTGAGATTGGTGCTATGATAAGTACACAGAGCAGCTCTCTGAAAATTGTTTTGCTTAGCTGATGTGAGGTCAGGTCAAGTGCTCACAATCATAGGGATGCTCATGTCCATGAGATTGAAAGAAGCAGAAGGGTGGACAGTACAGTTTGAAGGGAAGTAGGTGAGAACTGCAGGTAAAGATCTCAAATGTCTTTTCCTTCCCCTTTTGTAATGGCAGCAAACACCATTTTGTCACAGAGGCACTATTTTGTGGAGGCTTATCAGGTTGGACAAAAAATATTTGCTGGAAAGATTTCCAAGGGCTTGCCCATTGGAGGGTCTGCATGTTTTCCACCTGGTACTGGGAAGGACATATCTTATTAAGTAACTGATTAGACAGTGCTCTGCTAACAAGATGGTGCTGCTAGAAGGCAATTTAATGATGTATGAAGCATACACTACTACATGCTCACTGAGGCCTTTTGCATTATTATTCTGAAGGAAAGTAGGGGAGCCCCGCAGGGCAGACTGGCATACATACTTGTGATGGAGCACTTAATGCTTGTAAGGGAGCCTGTTGCTAGGTAGAAATGACTGGAAGGCTGCTTTCATAATTTTTTGTTTTTGAACAATGGAGAGCTAGTATGGACACGTTTTTATGCTGCTGGGGAAGAGCTCATTTGTGAAAGAGGAATTTCTTTGTTTTTAATCCAGCTGCCCATTGCCTTGGGCAACCTTCATTGGGTGGTGCCTATCTAGTTACCATAACAAGGTTTGGTCTCCTTACTCACCTGGTGTTTGCTTGCCCAATGCTCTTAGCATAGATGCAGAATTTAGAGAAAGTTTGTTTAAGAAGGTTGGCATAGATGGGTAATTACAATATAGCACTCTTTATGGTAATGTAATTACTCATATGTGTAACTACAACTAGTGAACGCGCTTTTCCCCCTGAAAATTAGGAAAATACATGCATTATCCTGGGGAGTTTTGGAAGTACTGTTATCATAATGCATTCTTTAGGATAATGACAATGTAAACAAAAGGTGAGGTAAACAATCAGTACAAATACATACAGAAGTCATATCTTGGAATCCTTCTGTTTTGAGTCACGGGCAAATCATCTTAACCACAGCACCATTCTCATTCCTGTACAAACAAGTAGCTTGGTTTTCTTTCTTTCCAGCAGTTTGTGCATGAATGTTAGTGATGGAGGATTCGTTGTAAAAAATGTGTTTGGAAAGGGGTCTTGAAAAATGAGTGAGTCAATAGGTTCATGGAAAATAGAAGCTGTTTCAATTATACACAGTCTATTGTTGCCTGGTGTGGCAATTTTCTTTCTGAAAAGATAGGCTGGAACTGGGAGGCTGAATCTGTGAAACAAAATGCACACAGGTATTGTGAGAAACAGGAACAAACAAACTACTTTAAAATCATTTTTTTTCCATCTGCCCATCATTATTATTATGTATGTCATATTTGTTGGATTTAACCAGCAATGTATCAGAATTACTCATTACCAGGATGCCAGTGCAGTAGCTACAGCAGCAGAAAACACTGACAGGTCTCTGAAGTGTTTAAGTGTCAGCAGCTATTGTTGATTATGGTTCCAGTTTTATTCTTTTCACTCTGTTTCCTTCCTTGAAGAATATGCTCCTGAACAGTAGCTCTTCCTATGCTGAGATCATTAATATTTGTACTATTTCATCTCTGGTAGATGGAATTCAATTTACATGCATTTACTGTGCTGTGTCATACTATTCCCAAGAGACCTAATGGGAGTTAAATAGCCACTTGGAGAACAGAGTAGAAAACCATTGTAATTACTGTAAGCTTAACTCACGTCAGGTCTAATTCAGTCACAAACTGTTTAGCTGCAAATATTTTTTGCTCTTCTAGGAGTTGAATACCAAGGATATAGAATAGGAGTAGAGACGATGTTACCAGTTAATTGGCATGGTTGTATGGCTTATAATTCCATCTCATATTCAGGGAAGATCAGTATTAGAGCACGCCACTTTCTAATGGAGCATTTTCTTGGTAGTTTACATGCTGCCCTCAAATTTATGGTTTTTGTCAGAACAAGTGAGAACTGCTGTTGGAGAAGTTCTCTGTCCCTCCCCGGGTCCTGGTGAAATATGATGAATATTCTTTTCTGAGTGTTAACTACAAACACTGCAAGAATGCTTGAAAGACGCTTGACACATAAAATTAAACCCAGGCTCTGGTGTAGAACTACTTGCTCCAGTAAGGGGAGCTGTGGCCACTGGCACCTATGGCTGGATGACAGCTTGTTATATAACAGCAAAACAACAAAGTTTACTCCTGAGGAGCTTGCTGCTTTGTTCTCCAAAGGCTAGGGAGAGAGCTGTGGCTGCTGTTTCCCTTGAGTAGCCCCATTGTTAGATAAACAACACTTGCACACAAAGCACACATATCTTTGAAGCCTCAGTGTCCAACCTGGGTCTCTTAATTTCACTGCATGTGACATACATGAAGAGGCAAAAGTTAGCGGGGCAGAAAAGTTGATCCAATGTGCAAAGCATATTTTTGACAACATTTCTGGCTTTGTTTTCAGTCATTTCAACAGGATCCAGGTACAAAACTAGAGGATATCAAGAAAGAAGAAAGTGCGGTCCGGTTTTCTGAGGTTATTTCTGATTTATTGTTGATGCTTTGTTGCAGTGATCCAGCACTGCTGCATGCCAGAAACAGAGGGTATGAATGATTTCAGAGGTGTGAAGTACAGGTGATTCCAAGTGTGGGAAATAAAGTGCTTGGAAACTGAAGCCTGTATAGTTTCATCCATTTCTTTGCCCTGGCTAAAGACAAAAGTTTGGCCATAATATTCATGAATAAAATATGAATGATTATTTTTGTTAGCAGGTGCCATTTCACCATTGCCAAAACACTGCAAAGCAATATCGACCCTGGCAAAATTAGAGAGAGACTAAGAAACCTGAAGTATGAGAAGCAACTATGCTTCTCCTAACCTAAAGGGTAGCTCTGCTTTTCATCAGAGCCAGGGTTTGTAGCACTCTCATTTTTCAGACAGCAAATAATTTTTTTAAACAAAGGTGGTTTCTGAAAAATGCAGCAGAAGGACGCGTTCTATCTGTGGTTGTGCAAAACTTGGGGACTGCTCTGGATGAATGCACTGTATGTTATTCAGCATGTATATGACCTGCTCAAGCCCATTCTTAGTAGCAGGTCCTCCCTTGCTGTTCATCCTGCTAGAACATTTACATTGATGTCATGCAAGTTATAGAATAGCTGAAGTACTTTCAGTTTCCCTAATAAACTATTTTTGTCACAGAATTTGTCCCTGAGGTTATTATAAACAGGGTTGGGCTGTGCAACAGCCTCGACAATTAGAATATGATTTTATGAGAGCTCAGAGTACTTTAGAGGAAGGTGTTCCTTGTCTAATGCTTACACCAAAAGCAGTCAGGGAGAAGGAAAAACAAAAAAAAAATGACACTTAAAAACAAGAAAAATTATACCATCATGAGTTCCTAGCATCCAAGGAGAACATATCACTGTAGTGTCATGAATCATGCCAATAAAATCAAAACTCCCCCTGTACCCATGGTGTCACTCCATGTAAATAGGAGAAGCCCAATGGCCAAGTCTGTCAGTCTAAAGACAGGTTCTTTGTTTAAAGGCAATGAATTAGATCTCTTTTTATCAGCTGACACTTTATAACATGCATATTTGTAAAAAAAAAAAAAAAAAGAAAAAAAAAAAGGAAAAAGAAAAACAACAGCAACAGAAATGGAAAGAATTTCAGTTTTAAATATACTTTCCGAGAGTTTTGGAACCTTTCTCTGCTTTCTTCTGCCTTGCTATGCCCTTAACTTATATTAATTTTGCAGAGGACAGTTAAACGCTTTGGATGTAAAATCTGTTGAGGTGAAGATCAAGATGCTCAGTTTTCCATATTTTACTGTGAAATACCTAATTAGAAGTCTGTGGCCAGTTTCAATCAAATTTGTAGATGGGTCACCTGGGCTCAGTTACTGCCTGTTATTTTGCAAGTTGATGCAGGCTGTTCACTCAATCAAAAGTTCACTCAATCAAAAGTGTTATGGTGTTCATATTTTTTTCACTGATTTGGTGCATAGAACATACATACCCATAGAAAATCAGTTAGGTTTTCTGTCATTTCAGACAATACCCAGGATGTGAACACAAAGTTCTTGAAGGCAAAAGGAAAGTGCTTCATCCTGCTTCTTCAGCCAACCTCCCATGAGTTGACAGGAAGCCAATGTACACATCAAACTCAGATAAAGGAGCCTTTGTGCTTGAAAGGGACAATAAAATTAAAAAGGATATCCATACAATATGCCATTGCTAGATTTTCCATATGGATAAGGCCTTTAAACACCTTGAAAAAATCCAAGTTGATACCCTCACTGAAAAGTTTTCTAGGGATGCTTCCAAACAGAAAATAGGCTGTCCAATTTCTTTATGTTGCACAACAACATGAGAAACATTGACTGAGTTCAAAGTCTTTCAGAACTGGCCCCCCAGGCAGTTAATTCTGAGAGATCTCACTCCTGGCATATAAAAACAGCTACAGAAGTTGTACCTTAAATACATCTAATCCTAAAATCCAGGAATGATTGGAATATCTCATCACAGGAGTAAATCTTGGGAGATTATCTCCCTCATGTGAGAGGCAAGTTCTAACAGCTACAGAATAAATCCCTTGTTCCATGGGTTGCCTGTGTTAGTTTGTGCTCCAACAGCAAAGGCAAGGATGTACATTGTAGTTCTGAAGGAGAATTTAGTATAGTAGTTGGAAATGTTCATTTCTGATTATGTGTCATCTGGGTAAATGTAAGCAGCTGTAGATACTGCTAGCAAACAGCCTGTAGTGGAGAAAGTTTTAATGCTAAAGAATAAGCTTCAATGCCAAAGTGCAATTGCTGCATGATTTTAAATTCCCATTAAAAGTGCAAAATAAGCAGCTTGTAAGAGATTCTTTGTCATAGTTCCTGCCATTTCTTTGTCTTGGATGTTCCTGCACCCTCACTGCTAATCGTCCTCCCAGCCCAAATTTACCTCTTCTACTGTCAGCCTTCTTTGAGGCCCCAGCTATCTTGACCCAGAGAAGACCTCCAGTGAGATCTTTGAGCTTCTCTTTCACTTTGTTACCTTTCTGGATAGACACTGAAAATAGTTTTACAGCTTCATGTTTTATACAGAAGAGTCATTTAAATTGACTGGAGCACATGGAAATTTCATCTTATTGGAGTTCAACAGATAACAACCTCATCATGGCTGTATCTGAACTATTTTAGTCTCAGAGGGGCAAAACTGCATGGCTTTGTATGTTATCAAGGCTTTCCTGGGCCATCGAGTATTGATCCCAGTAAAAATATCAAAATTCTACCTTGCAGCCTTCACTTTATAATTATATTTCATTTAGCTCAAAGAGTAGGAACAACTGCTTGCAGTGCTATAGGGTTATCTTATTGAGAAATCTTGAGGGAAAACTCTCCCACAAGCACGTTGTCTACACCATAGCCTGTTTATCTGTATTCTTTTCTTCACCAGCGCTAGGACAATTTTAATTTTGTAAGTATTCCCACAATGTCATCAAATCAGTGCTGTCAGCTGAAAAATTTTACCTTTTATTGAGCATACTGATAATTAATAAAGAGCTATGCTTAAGCAGCACATAAAGCAGGTCTGACACTAGAGATCTATGAATTAGTGTGAGGCTCTCTACCTGCAAAATGATTTGCAAGAGGAAGAGTTTAACTTCCATATATGTATATATTTTTTTGCAAGTAGAGTCATTCCCTCAGGGACCTCTGAACATGAAGATAGATAGGACAGATCAAAAATCAGTTCTATGAGAAGAATTTGGATCAGATATACACTGCATCCAAACTCATTGGTTAGTGCCAGCATGCTGCAATAAATCACATATAGCCCTGGAAAATATCTGTCTGGATTACAAAATTTGTCTCAGGGCAAGAAGACTGTTTAGGTTTTATACAAGCAGCTGTTTGCACTGGATTATTCATTTGCTTAATGAATCCCAAGTGGGAGCAGGGGGCTTGTCTCCAGAGTCTTTGTCTGAGGAGCACTTGCTCACCTTAGATGCTACAGAATTTCATTAATAGTAAATAATCTTTTTACAGATTGCCCCTTGGTATGCTGCTCACATTGCTACCTGCCTGATGAGGGGTGGCTGATTAGTGATGAGGGACGATGGTTTATTCCCTTGTCTCTCACTGTGGGCCAGGATCCTGAACTTTTGTTCTTGATCAATCTGTTCTGACAGCGCATAGAAATTACAGCACAGCCTTTTCTTGGACAGTCTTTGGTTTCAAAACCTCGTTTTAATAGTTTGACTGCTCTGCAGAATGTAGATATGTCCTGATAATTGGCTGCTGTGCTCCTGAAATTGCATTGTAATGTTCCCCTGTATACAATCAACTGAAAATATTGTATAAATAGGAAGGGTAATTAGATTAACTGCAAGATGACAGCAGTTAAGATCCTAGCCCAGATTCTGGAGTCTCTATTTTAGCAGCAAGCTCTTATGTGACTCGAAGAAAATCAATAAAGTTGAAGAGTATCTCCATACTCTTGTGGAGATCTGGGATTTAGTTTCCCCATGCGGCCTGTGAAGGAGGAATCACAGGAATCCTTTCACTGCAACAGTACTCTGAGAGTATATTTTCTAAAGGGACTGTTAGACAGGAGATGCTCGGGTATTGAAGATACAAAGAAATCAATCCATATGAAAAGCTAAGCTGAAATGTATTGTCAAAAGACAAATTTTGACTTTTCTGGACTTTTTAACATGGTTTGATAAAAGCAGAGGGAAGTGAAGGAAGTTGAACTGGGAAAGCTCCTGCTTATGGTGGATGAAATAGTTTGAGGAATGTCTTCACAGGACTGAGCACAATATTTTCTTGTATAAAGATATAAGGGATCTCATTTTGCACATGTACAAAGAAACATGTACCAAAGCTACAGACACCTCTGGCTGTGAACATTCTTGCCCAGCAGCTGTAGCCCTTCTCTGAATACTAGTTATTTTGCAGGGAGTAAGGATATAAGTCTGTCAAATGAAAGGCTGAACATGCAAACTCTGTGCAAATTTTGAGACAGTTCAGTTCTCCTATGCAAAATACATCCGTTTGGTGTCATCTGATAATTAAAAAAATGGCACCTGCTATCATTCACCAGGCACTTAATGTCCTAAATCCTGCAGCTGCTTACAACACAGTGGATAGCCACAGCCAAAAAGTGAAGAACATTTATCTCCTTTCTGAGACACTTAAGACTTTAATGCATTTTGTTTAGTGCTGCTATGTGTCTGCACTACGTCAAATGACTGGACAGGAAAAGACTTATGCAAGGTTATAAGAGGACTGGGTAATACTGAGATACAAATTCTCTTAGTAAGATCTGGAAAGATCTTGAAGCGAAAAAATAAAAATAATTGCATTTCAAATGTGTAAGACTGAAGGCAGGTGTGAAGACAACTAATTATGAGAACATAAAACTCTGTGTGAAATTAACTGGCCTGGCAATGCTCTTCTGAAATGTCATCTATTTATCAACCTGTGTAGTTGCTCAGTTATATTATAAGTGGATGTGATGGATTAAAATGATGGCTATACAACTACCTAAGCCTTACACTACTACTTCAGTGCTCACAGTAATATACCATGTTTTGTTGCTCTGTTTTCTTTTGGGGAGTGGTGTGGGAGGTGTTCTGCAGTTTGTCCAGACAGAGCTTCCAGTCATATTATAGTTTTGTGGGTTGGCATGTCCTTTAAGGGTGATTTTTTAAGAATTAATGGTAAATTACTTTGATTCTCTAAATCAGTATTACTTTAACATACTCAGATCATTTATACCATACGAAGAAAAGCATTTGCAAATTTGAGACATTTAATTGGCCATCAGTTTTCCAGACTCATGTCAACTGATTTATGAGTTAACAAGCAATGATAACTGAGTGTTCTCTTCATCTCTAGCCAGGAAGGTTATGCTTGGCAGGCACCATTGTTCTCTTACATTCAGTCAATGGATACATGTCAAACCAGTATAAAATAAAGCGGAGTATGGAAACAATGTTTTGAAGTTCTGGCTAGAACTGTCTGACGCACATGGGAAAGTGAAAAAGTACTTGGTCAAACTATGCATTGTATCACAGACTACGAGGTATTTCAAATTAGTACAGTAGTACTTAATG